ATGATACTTCGAAAACACCATTTAACTTCTCAAACTAAGAGAAGATCCCACATATGATTGTCATGCACACACTTGACCCTATAATTTGTACGAAATTTGCTGTGAGATATATGTGAAGTTCAATTTTGTAGGAGAAACTCTCTAGCACCTTGTAGAAGAGCCACCAAAAACTTTAAGGTGACTAAGGTTGAGCTTGGATATCATTAACTTAGAAAGGCTCATAGATTATCGCCGCTATGAATTCACATTTGGTCAAAAGCGCGAATGTTTCTCACGCGCATTCGTCGTATGTAGAGTTCATTCGTAAAGATTGGTCCAAATAATAGAAGACACTGATTTTGATCCCACTAAGCTTACTACATATTTCACTTTAATATCTTTAGAATATGCTTTGTTTTTTTGTGATGGCCTGCTTTATAGGTTGATGACTATTTGAAAAAGAAGCAAAGCAGATTTAACGTTTAGGCTTTTTGTGTTTGAGTTCTCAACTATAACAGATTTGAAAACTGAACTTTTTTGAAGTGGAACAAAACTGCAGTCGATAAAAAACTCCACTGTGGTCATGGGTGCTCGCTTTTTTCCACGATGCTTGAATAATGTATAAAAGTTCTTTTCTTTTGACCCATCGATATTTCAGAAATCCCGCTGACCCTAATTGCAAATGCTGAGCAACTTAGTTCAGTTTTGAAAATGCTTAAACACTTTTCATGTAATTGCTCAATGAAGACTGTTCTTTAATTTATTTTGTAACAATTTCGGTGGTACTGTCCTCGTCAAAATCACTCGATATATAAAACCATTCAGAAGCCCCATTGAGAAATAAAGATGTTAAAAATAACAATCTTGTCATGGCGCCATATGAAAAAAATCATGAAGTATTATGAATTTTGCTCTAACACCTTATAGAGAGTAAAACCTAGATTTCAGATCAGTGCAGCAAATATGGGACAAGCCTGACCCAGAAACACGACGGTTCTAGCTCTTCATATTATCGATTCCACTTCTTTCAACTTTTTTCTTCTTAAATAAACTTCTGACACTCATAACGACGTGTTCTCGTCTTTCATACGACTTAATCTCAACTCTTTAATTTTTCTAGTCTTTCCTGATTGCGCTCATCCTCAACGACATATCTAGATCGCTATTGGTGCTTTATACAATGTGTCAAATAATATTTGCA